AACCTCGGTTACTTCAGAATGATAATACTTGGTGGAAAACAGCGGCCTTGTGATGAAAGTAAGTGAAAAGACCATCAAGAGCACCTGTTGCATGTGAACAATAAAATAGGTTACATCTAAAGCTAATTACGGCTATTCGTATGAAATCCCACCGAGGTAGGCATCGTACTGGCTCAAACCTGAGCACAGTCTGCTTGTGTCACCAAATTCGGATGGCGATTCAAGGTTCGAAACTCAAATCCACAGTTCTGAATCACGTCAGCTTCGGGTACCCAAGCCTTTCAACCACAGGTTTAAAATTTTTCTGATAAGAACCCTGGTTAAATTTGATAAATGTATCTCAGAACAAAATACATTGGATTTGTCTGTGCCGGATTTCAGTGTGTGCAGCTCACGCCATTGGTTCGTCAGTACTTGTGCACATGTGTGTGTATGTATCTGCTTGATGAGTGCGTGTGCATGTGTGAGTGCTACGTGTACTATGAGATTTTCAGATTCGGCGACACTGTTTTTTTCTTCGTGTAATTTAATTTTTTGGTTCGAAGACCCGCAATGTGCAGCGTTTACACGGCTTTCAGTCCCACCCGTAGCCGACAAATGAGGTGAAAATAATTTTCGACACTCAAGCCCGCCCTCAAGGTTGCTCTATTTAAAGATCGTATTTTTTCCCCGAGAATAACTCCATGCTATTTGGGTAACGCATTTATGAACGATGATTCCAACTACCACGACTACGGGTACTGACACGAAAAGCGTTCCACTAAGATCGCGGTTCCTCCAACGACCGTTTCTGGAGAAAAGTGAGAGCTTCATTTTTTGTTCATGATTCAACAGTGCATTTTCTATCCCGATTAGGGAATAGGAGATATAGTCTAGGAGTTAAGTAACCAAGACTACTCAGCCAATCATAGATTCCCTTAAACTTTTAAAAATAAGTTTGTCATGATCTCATTCATGAATTATGTTTCTCCTGACTGTTTATCGGATGAGAATTGGTCTTGACTGTTCACTCATTAGTTAGTGAAATTTATCTCGATTTCTATATAAGTTTATAATCCTTGAAAATCCAAATATCAGGTCACAACAGGCGTTTTCTACCTTCAAACGGATGATTTGAAGGCCTATTTTTCCGTCATCTAATACCGTTAAATTTTTTCCGTCATCTGAAAAGCTGTCTTCAATGCTTTCAAAACTGTTCATGGCATATGTTTGATCCATACACGTGGATTTTCAAGGATGTGGTGAACAGATCTTCTAATCAAGATGTATTTTTGCAGCTGAGCCCCAAAGTAGCACTTTGGATTAGGTTTTGCTCAAATATGAAGTTCAAATAGTTGTTTGGCAGATTTGAAGTTTGTATGTCGATTGTGAAAAGTTCAGTAGCCTCGGTGGGATTCGAACCCACGCATGGACACCGCCTACGCTTTGTACGCGCATGCTCTCTACCAGCTGAGCTACCCATTCACATTCGACCAAAGCGTAGGCGGTGTCCATGCGTGGGTTCGAATCCCACCGAGGCTACTGAACTTTTCACAATCGACATACAACTATGAAGTGTCAAACTCGTTTGTTTTATTGGTTCTGCTGGGTCATGGGGCATTTACAGTCTATCAAGATCAACTGGACTTCGCTCCAGTGCAGTGATATTGCGAACAGTGACTATTTTTCAGTAAACATGCACATTTCAATCTTTTCATAATTGTTCATATTTGGTTGGACCATCGAGCAAGTAATTATCAACGGTGCAGTTGAGTATCATCTCTGGCACCCATATCCACCAAATTATAGTCTCGTTTCTAGTAACCCCGGCTTATGTCTACAATACCCACATTGAGTTTATCATTAGATGTCGGGTTTCTGCTTGCCGAACGTGGTGAACGAAAGACAATCATTTGAATTTAACTTGTGCATATGCGAAAAATCACTAATAAATTAAGACGCTTGCAAATATCCAGAACAGATTAAGAGTTTGTACTATGTGAAATTTGGTTGCTTACTAATGAAAACTCTACCCATGTTCGAAGGTATTCGGTAATTATTTGGTATCAGTCAGAAATACGAGCTTGCCAAGAAAGCTATGATTCTAATCGCTTAGTGAACAACTCTGAAATTCTCCACGGAGCTTCTGATATTCCGTGCGTTTCTCATCCACATGTTTTTAGAACTGAAAGTCATATTATACTGCACTGCTCCATTTCCTATTCCTCCGATATAAACTCGTTCACCCACAGACAATATTGGTGAAGTTCCCCGATTCTTCTCCCAATTGAGTCTAAACGTAGAGCCCAGAATGCTCATTGACATTTGCCCTCTGTTCATTCCCAACGAACCTCGCAGTAATCAATAGCAATCGTTTATATAGATGGAATTCTGTCAAACATCTTGATTTATCAACGGATAACAATTTTCTCTGATCGATCCACATCCACAACTGTATTGGTGGACCTTGGCGTCTATTATTTCCGATTCGAAAGCTCCGGAAGTTGCGCGGATCTCAGTCAGTTAGTTATTTCTATCTTTGTGGATCGGTGTGTTGTCCGACATCTTACTTTAATGTTTTCGGGTTAGTTTCCCTGTAGACTTCGAATTCCTTCAATGCGATTTTACTGGTTCACGGAGAAGGTTCTCGTGGACCTTCATCAATCATTACTGGTAGAACTGAGAAGTTGTCCCCTTCCAGTCCTTCACACGCTCTGAATTCCGATAAATGTCATATTCGCATAACCGTTTACCGAAAATCATTCATGTTTACGCACAAACACAGAGAGGGAAGCAAGTGATCTTTGTCTCACCCGTGGACGATGAAATGTTCCTATTCTGTCTGTAGACATTTTTTTCTGGATAAATATATGCCCTTTGACGTTCGTTGGCATGTATGCTTCAGTGCTTGCAAACGTTACACTCAGCACAATATGATCACGCTTCCGTAAGTCGAGCCAGCATGTGAGAAAGGTTGAGTGTCTATGATGCTACTCAGTGTAGGCATCCGATACATTTATTGTTTACATTGTTTGACCTGGACAATTCAGTCCCTAGAGAAAACGAGGTACGCTCAAGTGTAGACACCAACATCTCATCCTCATGTTTAGCAAATTTGTAGGCCCTACCATATATATACAAATATCAGATATGTTTGAATCGTTTCATGACAATTCACACCTCGTAGGTTCCCACAATCACGTCCTTTCTATTCATTGTTCATTTTGGTCGAGCAAGAAGTCAGTCAGACAAGTGTATAAAGTCAAATTATTATGGGCGATTAAACAAAGCTAGAGCTTATCATGCCCAATAGGATTTTTACAGAATATTTACAATAACTTTACAAACAAAAAATAATAATAATAATATGCATAATCACTCAGGAATATCGAAATTTTAAGTAATCCAATGCTTTATCAAGTTACGACTTAAATAGTTCAACAGTAGGAGCACACACTACATCGGATGTAAGAGAACTCCATACCCCGGACACTCTAACTGCAAACCAGGGAAGCTGGCAATCAAGGTGGCTGCATCGGGTTTTCAACTTTAGTGGATGTCCCTTGAGGTAATCATTTTGAGCTAAAGTCAGCATTGAACGGCAAGCGTGGTTGGGTTTATACAGTATGTGATACGCCAAGATTAAGTCCCTCGAAGTCGGCGGTATTGAGATAATTCAAGTCCCAATATTGGCAGTATTTCGGAGTATGTCTTGTTATACAGATATTTTGCCAATTTTATTGCCAACGTTTGCGGACGTTCTAGAGCCTTCTTCTCGCGGTTCAACCATGGGTTCTATACCTGAACGGCGTAATCCATGTGTGATCGAACGAACACTGATGCCAAGCATGGGAACAGTGTTCGTTCGAACAGCCCAACAACACGTCTGCTTATTCCAACTTTCTCTATAGCCATGGTTGATGCTCTGGCACAGTGTGTGAAGCATCCTACGTCTTCCTGTACCATAACTCCAAAATCCCTTTCGTCAGTGGCATGCGGTAGTATTTGGTTCCCCAGGACAGGAGAAACGAGTCTTGTCTTGAATGGAAATAACTCTGCATCTGGATGTCATTTGATGTCATTGGCGACTGATCATCGGAGGGCTACATCGATCGTTTGCTGAAAAGCTATATAATACCCTGCATGTGTTACAGTTCTCTGCATTTCCTGATTGACTTTATCAAGATAAATGAGAAACCGTTCGTTTACTCATGTCATAGTGTACCTGTTCGCTTTTGATGTCTGTCTTTCAATCACTTTTATCTTGGCCACGCACCGGTCGCTTTTAAGGTTATCACGATCATATGTATAGCCAAAAGACAGTCACCCATGGTGCCACACGCAACCACACAGATTTAATGCTTGTAAAACTGCAATTGGAACCTGATTTCAATTAGGAATTATCTATACGACGTGTTGTGCTCTTTGCAGGTGTCTTTGCCTTTATATGGTTCGCATTGGGGCTAACTATTGGTCCACTGGTTGGTTCGTTCAACTGGGGTTCACAGTATTTCATTCAAGTGCAAGATATAGAGGAAAGGCCGCTGGTGTTCGTCGGTGGTCATGAGAGCTCCGGTGAGTCCGACAACTGTAACATATTGACTTTTATTCCATCATATCAGGAATATTCCGTATATTCAATATTCAGGATCAGAATTCTTGCCACCGAGTCATAACCCCAGAGGTAAGTGTTGAGATGTGACACTTGCAACAAGATTGGACGTATGAGCTTCGTCTCGTGAATGAGCGAAATAAGAAAGGTCTGAGCAACTGCTCAGTGGGCACGTGGGTAATATGCTTGGGTCCTGCTTGTGCTGAGATCCCGGGTCAGTGGTTTGGTACCGCTGACGAGACCGGCCAAGGTTGGAACAACTGAAAAATTTTCCTAACACGTCAGCTCGCGGTTGCAGTTACCCTGTTCGTCGCATAGTAAATGGTGATCCCTTACACACCTCAGAGATCGCCGTCGCGAAACACGATAAAACTCATTTCACAGTTCAGTCATTTTTCTCCACTGAACTATGCATGCTGGACACAATGAGACATATCCATGTGAGTAAGTGAGGTTGTATACGCTTTGAGCGTCCTGAATGAATACATCAGAAAGATGATTTGTGATTGAACAACATTCACGTTTCATGAACTTGCGACTGTTTGCTCGCTGAAGATCACAGATTTTTTGTCGGTCACAAGTGAAGGAATCAAAACAGTGCTGGTGTAAATCAGTCGATAGTGTGGATTAGACACCTGGTGCACTGAGCATGGAACATGTTTCTTTCGCTTGTATACACCCGCGTATTAATTACACTTGCAATCGGCATCCCATTTAGTCTGGGTGCGTGGTTTTTTCGATCGATCAAAAGATTGCAGGAAAGACCTTGCAAATATTAAATATATCATGTAAATGGAAAATGAAAAATGGTTTGATCAGCTGCCTGGTGGCCGAGTGGGTAGCGCGCTGCGTTCTACCTGTGGAGTCCCGGGTTTGATCCCCAGTTGTGTCGATGGATTCGCACACTGCTGAGAAGACCGAACCAGGTCGAAACAACTGTCCAGTGGTTCCTAGATTTTCAGTTCACGCTTCGTTTGCTCTGTACACGACGAATTCATCCTTGATGTATCGAATTCAGTTCGGAACTTATTAGTTTTTGATCATTCTGATGCATTATTAAACCATGATGCTGAAGTCGTGTTACTCAGGTAACTTTTTCTATCTATGAAAGTTGATTTTCCTGTTAATTGATTGCCAGGTACTGAATGTGTAAATCACAGACCCTCAACTTATTCCACAACCACCGATAGGTACCGGTCTAATGCGAATCAAATTGGACGCGCATCCGATGATTCGATGCGGTGCCGAACCGATGATCACGCTGAGCGTACTGGAATTGTGGAAACGAGTTCGGAACACGCTATTGGGACGTGCCATCGAGGCGGGAATTTACCCAGATGCACTCAATAATGCAACTAGAGCATACATTGTGGAAACAATTCGACATATGGGGCCGGACGCACCTGTACTGTGTCACAAACAACCAACCACATTTCAACACTTGTCCACTTTGGGTCAGTTATTTCCCACAGCGAAATTCATTCACATGGTTCGTGATGGACGTGGAGCAGTTGCGTCATCTATAAAGTAAGTTGTGTGATTATATATACTAGATCCAAACGATTCTGTCCCCACACATTTGTTCAGATGTTTTGTGTACTAGCATTGGATCATCATAACTTACAACGTTCAATTACATGTGGGGAATGCAAAACTGATGTAAGTAGATTGAATAGGTAGTAGTTCGGTAGCTACACAGCATTCGATTGAATATCCACTTCTCTTCATTGATTAATTCGCTTTATTTGATGTATATGCCCTGAGAAAAACGTTTCCGGTTGATCAGAAAGTTTTATTTCTTACACAAACATGAGCGACGTGTTCTCCACGAGCGTTCTGGTAAAGATCCATACGCTCAAACCACTTGGTAAAACAGCTTGATCGGGCCGAAACGGGTGACCCCTTTCGATCAGTTCAACAAATGCCTTCACTGCAGCTGTTTCTGACTCGCATCATACTTCCGGCATCATGCGTTTGACATTAGGGACATAGTGTTCCTTAAAGGCGTATCATCATCACCACAGGTAGCTCCCAAACGATCAACACCCTCGTGCTACTGCTACTTTTAATCTCATTCTTAGTCATAAAAAATCGTCGCCCTCTAGTCACATCGATTGAGATCAGTCCTTACCACGCACCGAGTACAGCGACCCGTATGACTTGTGATCTTTGCTGTGCTCGGCTGTTGATATTCGGTTCTATGTGACTTTGAATTGCTGAACAAAGTTCTCAGTAGGTTACGATTGACGTTTTTCTTACCTGGTCATCTGTATCTTGCCCGTGTACTGCGTATCCGGAAACTTTTCTCAGCTCTCATATAATGCTATAATATTCATAATAAGATAGAGGTCTCTAAAAGCGTTATGTTACAAAACAGAATATGTAACGTCAATCAGAGACCATAGGATTCAACTACACATCCTCCGGCGCTAAATCATCACCGCGACACACAAAAAAAGGGAGATCGATATTCCGGAAAAATTGGAAGAATTAAATTAATGTGAATACACTTGTCACGAATAATCTTTGGGAAAAATTGCTATTCGGTTCTAGGGCACGGGCACAAAGCGGACACGTCCATGCACACAAGGATGATTGAGTTATCCGTTACAGTGATGTGATTCTCTGACAAATTTTAGTCACCTTCTTGTTCCGCGTTTCCAATCGCTTGGGGTCAATCGTTTCTACACACTGAAAGGGGTCCTAATGTTCGGCTGTGTTCTCATTCCATTTCAGTCGACATCTACTTCCTAACAACTATTTTCAACGGTCACTGGACGGTTGGCAAGGGATGGTATTACAAATCATAAAGGACTGTGAACAGTTGGGTCCGAACCATTGTATCCATGTCCGATACGAGTCGTTGATTTTGCAAACAGAGCAGGAAATGCGTCGTGTGTTAAGTGAGTTCAACTGTGTTATTTTAACGGAATAAATCTCCTTCTTTGTTGTTTCCAATGGACTGTTACTGTGAAATACCAGTCAGACCAGACATGTAACTATTACGGATTTTTGGTAGACCCTGTCTAAGACGACCGCTTGTTAATCTTTGTCAGAATGTACGAAATGCAGTTTTGGGTTAGTCGTATGTTTGTCAGTTATTCGAAAGTTTTGTGCTTTAGTGTTAACCATTCTTGGAAAGAGTAGCACACGTTTACGGATTCGTCAAAGTCTCACATCACATATTCGGTCAACAAAACCTGTTTTCAACCAAGAAAATCGTTAGTTTCCGGATGGTAGTATAATTTGCTGGTATTTGAAACGAGTGACAGGTTTGAGAATACCGAGGTCTGTGGCCCGCAAGAATCTCGTAAAGATGGGCTGTGCTTTGTCGTGTAAATGGAAGATGTAAAACGGTCTGATCAGCTGCCTGGTGGCCGAGTGGGTAATGCGCTTGCGTTCTGCCTGTGCGGTACTGGGTTTGATCCCCAGTTGTGTCAATAGATTCGCATACTGCTGATGAGACCGAACCAGGTCGAAACAGCTGTCCAGTGCTTCCTAGCTTTTTAGTTCACGCTTCGTTTGCTATATACAGGACGAATTCTCCTTTGCAATTGAGCCAAATCTTTTATTCATAACTAGAGAAGAAAAGGGTGTGCATCAGTTGAAGATGTTAAACGGAAGAATTGGTGACTTTGTCCATCTGATAGGAACAGTCGGCTTAATTGAAGCAAAACAGGGGTCTTTTCATTTAAGTAAATAATGTGCCACTGTTTTCCACGAAGAAGAGCATAATGAGTTCCACAATTATGCTGAACCCAAATGTGCCCCGTAATTGATCCAGTGGAAATAGAATCCATTATGAATGGAGTAACTCAAAGTAATTTGACTAATGATTAGTTAATGACTAACAGTGAGATCTGGTGGGTATTGGAACGCAAGTTGAGGATTGACTAGACAAAATGAATGAGCATATTGGTGCTGTATTTTAACTTACTCAGTGTGAATGCCTGTGCTTCCTTGGATGAATGAGCAATAAGAAACATTTGCATATCACGTAATCATATTCAAAATATTTGACTGAACCTGTTAACTGTTTCTATTACCCAGGATCGACTGTTGCTCATAGTTCTTGGGAAAGAGTTCGTTTTGGAAATAATCAAAGGAATGATTGTAGCTCTGGATGTGGCTGTTGATGATGGTGTG